CTGGCAAAACTTTTCACGTGATCAGCATTCTTCAGCCTGAGTTCTGTAAGACATCAGGAAATCACAAATGACAGTTATCATTTTTAATAAAACCCCATAAAGATTCCTACAGATAAAAGCAACACACACACAAAAAAAAAAAAAAAAAAAAAAAAAAAAAAAAAAAAAAAAAAAAAAAAAAAAAGCAGAAAAATTTAAAATTACACCCAAATTTTTAAAGCTAACTATTTTGACTACAATGTCCAGGACTGAACGCATATTTTTGTCCATGTCAGCCGGTCTTTAGATTGAGAACAACTGGGACACACTAAAAAAGATTATGCTGTTGACCAGGCTAACCCTGTGGTATTTGAATAGCTCACTGCTGCCTGCAGCTGAACGAGCACTGCCTTTAAAGTCTGAACAGGGAAAAGGTTTCATGAAACGTGTTAGAAAACCATAGTGCAACATAAGCAAAGAAAATGGCCAAGCTTTGTAGAATTAAATGCAAGTATCATCAAACCCAGTAAGGTGGAGAAAATATCAGAAAAACTGAAAATGCAGGAGGAAAAGGAAGCTGTTGGAATTTCAAACTGCAGTCCTCCTTCTTCCCATGCTGAGGGTTGGAGAAAGCATCACACATCTGGTAGGAAGAGTTCGCTTTTGCAACAGGCCTGTGGCCATATGTCAAGCAAAGCCAGAACCTTTGATCCTGTAAACCTCAATCCCATTGAGAACAACGAGCGGCAACTCTCAGCCCGGGAAGGACATTTTAATCAAGGGCAACCTGTGACCGCAGGGCTCTGGTAGACATGCAGCAGCAGAGGAAAATTGGACAGCTGAAGTTGCTACCACTCCCTGCCTTCCTCCCCACCTGCCTAACAGATGTTGCTGCCCCCGAGGCATGGATGTCTGATCCACTCATGAATCAACTCCCAACTCACCCCGCTTTTCAGCCCGGCGTTTTAAGGTAACCTGACATCAAAGTTGGTTTACCACCGGCGGGGTGGAGCAGACAGCTACGGGCAGCAACATCTTTAGCTGTCTGATGCTAATTCACTGCTGCATTCCTGACAAAGCCACCAGCCCTGCTGAGCGCCAGCCCTGCCAGAGGACCAGGCCGGTGGTGGTCCCTCCTGGAAGTTAGCCCCAGTGGAGGAGGGTGCTTCAGCACTCTCTGCCCAAAGGCTGACTTGTGCCTTATTAGCAAACCGACTTCAGGTTTCAAAAAGGACAGTGATTTGGGGAAGAATTCACAGGGGCAGGGGAGATTTAAGCTCTACACAGATGCTCAGCCTTTGCTTTAAGCACAAACTCAACCGTAAACACGTGTCCTTTTATGCTGTAATTCAGTGTTTCAGTGGGTTTCTAAGATTAACCAGTAATAATAAATTTAACGCTTACTGATCTGTATGAACACATCCACTGAGGTCCAATAAGCATCTTCTTGAGATGCATAATTCTGTATAACATTTCTACTATAACTTTACAGGTTATTTAAATTATTATTAGGCTATTTAAAATCATTACTTCAGTAGGGGCAGTTTTTTCAATTTGCATTTGTGTGTATCTACCTATGAGGTCTTCTCTAGATGTGTGAGAGCTTGGGCAAATTTTGCATGGTAATATGCCTTGGAAAAAAATCGGAACAAAAGTAAGGGAAAAACATCATACTCCTTTGCTCTGCATATATTGTCCCCTATCTCCTTCAACAGCACAAACCCTTCATTCAGAGTCTTTCCTCTCTAATCCTTTCCCTTGGAGCTATGTTTCAAACTAGCTCCCTTCAGAAGCCAGCCTGGACAGTTAGAGACAGGATACTGCCAAAAAAAAAAAAAAAAAAAAAAAAAAATCAGGGAGCATTACATTTAAAACTAATTGACAAACCAAAAACATAAAGACAAAGGTTTGGGGGTGTGGATCTAACACTGTTCATATAAATCCCAAATAGATCCCTACATCAATGTGAAAATACACCAGGCAGACAATAACATATAGAATACACCTAATGAGAAGCTGTGCTTCATCTTTGGAAAGTTATCCAGGGTGGGTTTCACTACTTTTTCTCTGAGCCCTTTGACACTAGTAGCTCTTGGGACACCACCCTGGGTTAGGCTGACTGCTGCCTGGTGAAACATTTCAACACCTGAAACAGTGTTTGTGTGGGAACAAATAATAACTACTTCGCTCTGTCCTGCCTGAAAACTGCCCGTTAAGCAGGCAAGCTGGTACCATTTGCCCAGAATTTCTGATCCTGGGTCCAAGGAGATGGTAAAACCTATGGGCTCTTTACCACTCACTGTCCAGAAAAAAATACTGATCATGGTGGTTATAAAACCAGACAGGACCCACTTCTGTCTTGGTACAAATCCTGTACTGAGTGTGCTGGTACACAAACACGCTTTCAATTGTATGTGAGCAGTACAGAAGTAACAACCTACTTACTCATTTCAACAGCTGCGCTGTTAGCAGGAAAAGACCTGACTTCCATGTAACTTCACTCACAAAATAATGTCATTTACACATAAAATTAGAAGAGTTTCTTTACACTTTGTTTTTCCACCAAAAAACTGAAAAATTACAGCTTAGTAGCTATCCCAGACACTGTATCCCTGCTTAGCTCCTGAAGGAATAATCTGAACCCAATATTTTGTTCTTTAGCTGTATCTATATGAACCAGGGTCAAAGAAGTAAACCTGGAAATGATAGCCATTCCCAAAAAAAGGAGACAAATATTTTTATCGAAAAAAACCCAAACAAGGATATGGAAGTATGTGGAGCTTAGACACAGGCAGCAAAAACCTGAGCACACTGAATTCAAATTCTGCTCCTTAAAGAGTTCCTGATCTGTTTGCCTGAGGACACAATACTAAGGACAACATTATTTATAACATATAATAAAAGCACAACTTTAGGTCCTTTTAAAAAGTTAGTGATATTGATCTTAGGTTCTTTATACAAGACAGTATCTGTTACTTTCGTAAACATTTACTGGATTGCAGATAAATTTATTTTTAATGTAAAATGAAAGTGTGTCTGGCACAATTTACTCTTTTTTTTTTATAACGCAATATTAAATCAGTCCAGAGACATCGACAACAGAGCGGTAAATATTTAAGATTACATCTTCTTTCCTACGACATTATTTTTTTCCTTCTCTATCAGATCTACTGTCAAATAAATCAGTTCTTCCTTTTATTCTCATTCCTCAAACACTCTCAGCGTCTCACACTAAGTTCATCAGATTTCATTGGAAAGACGAGCAGACATCGAAAGTCTGAGAGAGCACTTAGGGTGTGATCCAAAGTTACTGGAGTCAACAAGAAACACTGTCTTCTATTAGACTGGATCAACATTAAGCTCCAAATATTTATTGCCACTTCTAATGATAATATGCCAGAGTCCTCAATAATATTCATTACAGTGAAGTGTTTGTTGGAAAATGGCAACAGTAAATGAGTGAAAATATGTCCAGATACAAAATTTAATATTCATAACCCTTCTCCTATCTAGGGATTGCTAGAAAAGCAAAACAAGTATTTCATTCCATTTCCCATCTAGAAAAAGACTCGCAAAAGACTTTAGACAAAGCTCAGGGGAAGCGTTAGGAAAGTAACATTGTCCAGCAGAGCTAGGATAATCCTGCAATTATTATTCTGATCTGAAATTCCCAGCAGGTTGACAGCTAACTTGCGAGAAACACTGGTGAACATCAGGCGATCATACACTTCCTATGGAAAAAAAGCAAACCTCAGTCAAGCAGTCATGCTTAGATACAACAGCACAAGACAAATGCAAGCTGCCATCCACAAACATTTCTCCAGAGAAAGCTTTTGTGTTTGTACTTCTCTGATCACATGTTGGGTCAAGCAGGGGATTGTGTTGGTCATCTGGTTAGTTGGTTATGGGCTCCTGCTGCTGTTTTGTTTCTCCTAGATCATGGACTTGCCTTGTTTGAAATTCTGATGCAAACCACAGCACTAAGGCAAAGCTCAACATTTCAGGGATCTGCCTTTAGCCATAATTATAGGCTCACCTTTGTGCTCTGCACTTTCAAGGGTGGCAGTTGCTATAAATTACCACAGGTAGAAAAAAAACCTCACCAAACAACAGCAGCATTCTTGAAGGGGCACCAAACAAGCTACAAGTTTGTCCACTGACATTTTCCTCCTGGGTAACTCAGGCCAAGAGGTCAAAACAATGGCTGACTAACAAGACAGCATGCAGGGAAAAGGTTGCCATTAATAATGCAACAGAATAGCACTGTGTGGACAAGTAATGTAGGAAAAACATACCAAGATGACCAATATAATACAGGGGTCATGCAAGAAATGACTAGATGCTGGTCAGAGAAGCAATTGTCTGAAAAGGATGCAATGTTGTTAGCTAAACGTCTTTCCACCGGTTCGGTAAATTCTGCTCCCTATGTATTTCCTTCAGAGGCAGAAAATACAGATGATCTAATGTTCTTACTTTATTATTAACATGAGTCAGTGCTTTGATGAGCCTGCTAGGTGACTTTACTTAAGGACCCCTGACTTGTGCAGTCAAAACAGACAACTCAAGAAAAAGCAAAAGAGAAAAGGAAGGGGAGGATGTGAATGGTGCCGTCCAGGCAGATCTGAAGTACAGAATTCCCTGCCCATGGCAATGACAGCACAAGCAGTGGTGGGTCAGTCAGATGATGCCACCCTCCCATGCAGTCATCCCTAAATGTTTCTCCAGTCTACACACTAATTCAATTTTTCTTCTAACAGATAGATACTGATGTTACCAAAACAGATTTATGCAACATTTCTGAAGGAAGCTAACATCCACTAACCAAGTCAACTTCAGAGGTAGCTGAGAAAACACTCCCCATCCCACCATTTCCAGAACTATGAAGAACTGACTCCTGTACAAAACACATACAATTTCACAGCAGCATTCTCACGAGCATTACTGGCACATAAAAACTTTGTAACTAACTTGGATATAGTCTGCACATCTAGGTTTCCTTTCTATGAACACTGGGTGCAAACCTTGGTAGTAGAAACCCAAGAGCTCCAAAAGCAAGCAGTACAGGCTGAAAAAATACACGTACTCTTCTCCAGACATCATTGCACTTCAAATCCAATGTGGCAGAGACTTGAAAGCTTACTGTTTGAATGGTGTAGATTCCCAATTTCCAAAACAAATTCCATTAGCAGTGTTCTGATAAAGAAAATGCCTTCCTACAAGACACACATAATTTTAAGGTTTCAGGAATGCATAATGCCAGATATCAGTGACCTGCAAACCTGTTCCATTTTTCTTAATGCGAAGTATTCTCCGACTCTTCTCTTACAGTACTGTAAACCAGGAATAACTTAAGTGAATTCCTGTGAGTTACAGCAGTCTAAAGCTTATGTAAGTGGGAAGAGAATCATGCTGTCTATGCTCTATAAACTACAAGCAGGGCAAAGAGCTTACATAATGGGTTTATAAACAAAAGCCCTTCATATCTATAATCCATGACCAGAAAATTAATCTGTCCTGCATAAAAAAGGAAAGATGGCTTCCCTTACAGCCTCTTGTATGAATAATAAACATGAGGTGCAAGTCAGTGATTGATATGAAGGAAGTACAAGATAAAACGTGAACATTGTTTTCCTTTCTTACAATACCTTTTCTTCCAAAGGCTATAAACTCTCCTTTTCTCCCTGAGTTGCAGCCAAAGCTCCCTGTTCAGCCAGGGTGGTCTTCTCTGGCGCCAGCTTCTCTTACAGCACCTGGGGACTGCCTGCTCCTGAGCCATTAACACTTCCTTCTTGAAGAGCTCCCAGCGTTCCTGGGCCCCTATACCCTTCAGGACCATCTCCCAAGGGATCCTGTCAAGCAGGTGAACAAAAAAGACAAAGTCAGCCCTTTGGAAGTCCAGGATGGCAGTCCTGCTTAGCCCTCTCCTGGCCTCTCTAAGAATCAAGAACTCTATTATTTCATGATTGCTGTGCCCCAGTCAGCCTCCAGCCACCACATCACCCACCAGTCCTTCTCTGTTCACAAAGAGGAGATCCATCTGGGTACCTTCTCTGGTTGGTTCTCTCACCCGCTGCGTCAGGAATTTATCTGCCACACATTCCAGGAATCTCTGGGACTGGTCCCGCTCTGCTGTGTTGTATTTCCAGCAGATGTCTGGGAAGTTAAAGTCTCCCACAAGAACAAGGGCATGCGATTGTGAGATTTCTCCTAAATGCCTATAGAATATTTCATCCACCTCCCTGTCCTGGGTGGGTGGCCTATAGCAGACTCCCACTACAACATCTGCCCTATTGGCCTTCCCCCTGATTCTAACGCAAAGACACTCCACCCTGTCTTCACTACACTTGTATTCAAAGCAATCATAACAGTCCCTGACACACAGTGCCACCCCACCACCTCTCCTGCCTTGTCTGTCCCTCCTAAAGAGTTTGTAGCCATCAGTTGGCACACTCCAGTCATGGGAGACATCCCACCATGTTTCTGTTATAGCCACCACACCATAATTTTCCTGTTTCATCACGGCTTCAAGCTCCTCCTGTTTGTTACCCATGCTGTGTGCATTGGTATAGATGCACTTCAGATGTGCTGGTGTTTTGCCCCCTTTGCCCTTCAGATCTAGTTTAAAGCTCTGTCAATGAGCCCAGCTAACTCCTGCCCCAAGATCCTCTTCCCCCTCTGGGACAGGTGCATTCCATCTAATGCCAAAAGGTCTGAAGTCCTGTATACCAACCCATGATTGAAAAATCCAAAGCCCTGACGGTAACACCAGTCTTGGAGACAGACATTTGTATGCAGACAGTCCTTCTGGAGAAGATGGGGTGGGGGTGTGTGTGAGTATATGTAACTGCAGTGAGAAGATAGAGACAGCATATAGGTATGTTGCCTGTTTGGTAATCTTTATTGCTAAAAAATCCCATCTCCTACCAACTGCAAAATGCAAAGCAGTTTCAGAGTGTCCTTGTGTCGGCCTTTGCCTGCTTAACACACTATACTTGCAAAGAGGCTTTCAATCACTCTCTTCAAGTACAACACAAACAAAATTATTTCTGAACGGCTTTTGGTGAGGTTGTTAGGAAAAGCAGCCTCAGCATCGTGTCCTTCCCTTGTGAGTTCTGTACAAGCAAGGGAGATAACAAAAGTTTCAGTTTCCTAATACTCTGTCTAATTCTGATCCCAGTCTTGTGATTTCAACCGATCCTCATTGCAGGCTACTGAAATAAAGACTTAATGGGACTATGAGTGGGGCTTACTAAAAATAGCTAAGTATTACCTATTTCATCAAGAACTAGCATATACACCTTATTAGGTCAGAAGCCTGTCCTGGTTATAATTGACAATGTCTAGAAGAACAAACCAAGTTTCTTCACTGCAATGTGTCTGAGGTGTAAGCATGAAAGCTGAAGAGAGGAACTGAAGACAGTTTTTTAAACCAATTAGAAACAACTATACTAATTTTAAGAATATTACTACTTCAAAAATTAACATGAACATGACAACCATGCACAAATCAGTAAATTGTGTTGCTGCTTTATCTGCAACATTACCCGGTCGATATAAAGAACAAGCTTTCCTGCATTTTGTATTACCTCTTTCGTCTCTGAGATGTCCAACATTTTCCTCAGAAGCACAAAGACTATACTACAGAGACTGACGAGAAGACAGATTTACACTCATATCCCAGCTGATTCATTTCTAGAATCATTAAGCCACATCCTGAGACCTTTGGAACCTCTAACAGTCTATAAGCCTCATTGGTTTTATACATAGCCCGAAAATCACTGTATGTTAAGCCACAAATCAAAATTATCTGGACTAATTGTTCTCAACCAGTGACATTCCTGCTGCACTCCCTCTTCTGACAGTGAACTATCTAGACAAAAGATGGAGAAAAAGATGGTGCCAGCTAAGGAGCTAGACAACACTACTCCACCACCCTTCAAGGAGAAGGAATAGTTTAGCATAAATCTAAACCTCTTTCTAATCATGTGGATATCTAATCTCTATATCACAGACATACTAAAGAGAACAAATAAGGGTATAAAGACAACAAGTTTTGCTAGACTTTGAGTACAAGAGCTTCAACTATATGGGGTTAGGAATCCAAAGCAATAGGGAAGCCGAGGTGTGGGCAAATAAAAGTGGTTTTCCTGTGACTTAAAGACTCCCTGAAAAGCACACAGAGGCAGAGGCAACAGAGTGTCCAAGTCACTGCAAACATGACAATCTGATCTTGGACTGGCATGCTCTTTTCATACTTTATTCAATGAACCAGTGAACTCAAGCTGGTGTTAAAGCACGGTATTCATGTCTTGAGTGCTCTGTTACACTGTCAGATTTTATTCACATCATCTGAATAATAAAACTGACAGAAATCAAAGTTTATCTTAGCATAAACATGGAAATGATATGGTGCCAATTTGTGTTGGCAATTCTAACAGGGCCAGTTGTCTATTTCCTCTTCTCATACAATCTGATACCATTAAAAAAGCAAGCAGAAGAGATGCAGAGAGAACAAACCAGTGAATGAATACTGAAGCAGCTAGCTTTAAAGCACCTAACTCAAACAAAGAGTGTGACAATGTACAAAGGATGCCTGCACTCCTTCTTGAGCACACATCTGTGAAAGCCAGTGTGAGAAGCTGTTTTGTGCTGGGCATCAGGGAGCAGTGAGGGTAATTGGGGAAGGGTTTAGTTCACATGGCAGCAGCCTTTTGGGCTCTTTAGGAAGGAGGAGAGCAGGCCAGGAACAGCCTCAACTGCCACCCTGATGGACATCTCTATGAGGATTAAGCCTCCATCTGGACTAAAGTAAAATGCCACTAGCACCAGCCTCTTAAAAACTTCCAGTGGTGCCAGCAGCTGGACAACCTGCACCTGTCAGCCTGGTCCTCCCGCTCTGACACGAGAGCTCATTTCCTCTCCTCTGTCCACCAACAACCAAACTGAAATAAAACTCCTGTAAAACAATGGACATGATGAGAAGGGGCCAGCTGAAGTGACAAAGACTAAGAGTTCAAAGGAAACAAATGTTTATTACAGAAAGAGTTATCTCCCTTTCGTCAAAGGGGAGAAGATACTGTTTATTTTGCAAACGGTTGTCCCACCAGGGACAAACAGGCACTGAAGAAAATCTAGCTCCCATCCCTTCCAGTCCTCTCCTCCCTGCTCACACATTCCTGCTCAAGTTTTATAAACTGGTTTATAAAGTGTTATAAGAGATATAAGGATCAGAAGAGGCTTTGGTCATGCCCAGCACTGTTTTACACAATAGCCAACCCTGAATCAGTCAAGACTCCTCTGAACTTCACATCTCGTACTTCAGCAAGAGTTTTCTTTGAAAGGGAAGTAAAGTAGCTTTGCATAAGTGACTGATCAAAGAGGCACGCTGTTATTGTTCATATGACACCTCCTTTTGTTAAAGTGACCTCCAAATGAAATAGGGGCCCTCAACTAGGTGATCAGAACACCCAGCACACTGCTGAACATCAAATTATTCAGAATCTAAATGTGTCTGTTTAATATCTGAAAGATTATCTCGTTTTATATCACATGAGCAATTGGAGTATCAGAGTAATTGTTTTGCAAGCACAGGTGCTTTTTGTTCCTGTAATCCACTAACCAGGAAGAGCATCTGACCTGCAGAAAACACCAGAGCAGATTAAATTGTTAGCTGTCATACACAAGATAAAAGGGAGAAGTCATTTGTAGGCCTCTAGTTGCACAGTTTAAATTCAATTCTAGAACACAGTGTTGCCAGTTCCTGGCATTATAAAATTCATTAGTCAGCCCTTAGCCCTCCTGAAACAATCCCCTTCCTCAAATGCCTTTGAAAAATATCTTTCTCATGATGAATCCCTTTGTCTTGTGGTATCTGGACACTGACGTGGAATTAAGCTCGTATTTTCAGGCTTTTCCTTGCAGAAGAGCTGAGCCAAGAGATTTAAAACACACTTTCCTCTTGTTCTAATAAAAAATGAGGGTCTCCCCTCCAGAAGTCAGGCCTTCCAGAAAACTGCAAAAGTCTCTGATGAAATGTTGACACTCGTCAACAGCTCATATACCTCTCTGACACGGTGGAGAGAAACAGTCGTGAAGCCAATTTTGACACAAGAGTAACATTATGAACGACATTTACAATAAACATTAAATTAGCTTATAGTTTTGTAAAGTTTTTATATGATCTCATGATACAATTGAAATACAGGAAACTTATTTTTATGTACGACAGAGGAAAAGTGAGGAACAGCAGAGAATTGCTGGCATAAGCCCATCAGAACCAGCCACAACAGATTTTTGCACCAGATC